GAGACAGAGTCAGTGATTGCGTCTATAAATGTATCAACATTCAACCACTGTGGCCTATACGCAGTGCCGATAACTAAGGAGTATCCATTAGTTTTAGTAGTCAGACACATTTGCTCTACAGAATCATTGGGACTTTTGAGGTAACTAATGCGAACATCATCCTTTACATAAAACACTACCCCTCCACCACGTCCACCTCGCATATGCTTCGGCCGCGGTGCACAGCGTAGTCTGTAACCCGGCGGCGCAGGCGCACACGCCTCCTGACCATTCCTCAGCCATGTTTCATTAATAGCGACCATATCGGCGTTGAAACGACTCATTGCAACAAGAAAATCATCTTGTCCTGTATTCAAAGAGCCTGCGTTATATAGTCTCAACCAAATGAATTTATTTTTAGGAGCCATTTATTACATTTTAAGCATGTAAGGAATTACATAAACTCTGTTACTCTGATGTAAGTGAAATATATATAAGTAATACTTGTACAGACTGTGCAATATGTTAATATTTGTAAGGGTTAAATTGATAAAAATATGCCGTGATATAATAAAAGTAAACGTAAGAATATTCATTGTTAATAAAATGCATGTAAATGAATTAATATAGATTGATAAATAAGCTGGCACAGAAAAAATGCGATTCACAATGAGTAGCTTTGCACAGATACAGCACACCCCACCACATGAAAGTACATGAAACAAAGACCATTCACTTAACAAACTTTTACATTGACTACATAAAATACAAAACAAAAGCACATGAGTAAAAATAATTTTTTTAATGATTTTATATGTATGTAAAACAAGCTCTATTCCTGATGTAATTATGAGAATATTAATTAGTTTATAAAAAAAATAAACATTTATTTATTGTCACCAATCGTTCCAATACCAAAACACGGGAAACATCAGCCTCAGTACGAAGACGATGACGCGGCGCATCACTACCCTGATGCTGACGCGCAAATACTCGGCCGTCGCGTGTCCATACATAGCGCCAGTTCAGGCGCCCCGCCGCCCCGCGAGCCAGACGGAATACAACCCTGTTAGTGCGGGTCAGCCGCTCGTTGATGTAGAATCGTCGTGGCGGGCCGGGCACCCCAGTACCCTCTGTGGTAGCACCTCGACGAACGCGAGCCGCCTGCAACATCTGATCACGCACTGCGCGACGCGCCAACCGCACCACAATCATTCTCGGGCGTGCAGTCGACATGGCCAGCGCATCCACCTCCTTTGGAGGACGTCCCACTCGCAAGGTATTTACAATATCCTCCTCACCCAGACTAACGCCTAATTTACTTGCAAGGGTAATTATAATATGCTGCAAGCTTTCACCCTTTTCTTCAGGAACGCACGACACCTCAACATCAATCTGCAACAGCTCCTTATCACGTTCGCTTAATTCCGCTTTGAGCTGTTCAACGGTGGCAAGTAGTGAGGCGTCAGCACCTGCCGGTTTGTTCTCAGCACGTTGCTCTAGGGCTAAAGTGCGTTCGTCGAGTTTGCTCACTCGATTTTCACAGGCGTCCATCCTCGCTGTGAGTCTGCTCATGGTTTCGTTTAGAGTGGCCATGAGATGTCTAGTTGCCGTCAACTCCTCCCTAAACAGACGCATCTCTCTTACAAGTGCACTTGTAGCATGCGACGCATCCGCAGTCGCATCGTGGCCCGAAATGTTCATGGTCGCATCAAGCAAAGAAACATCCATTTGTGCAGGTGGACTGCGAACAATTTTGTCTTTTCGACGAATTGTAATTCCATCTGCTGTATTTCTCACCGGTGTGTTAGTATTGCCGGTTTTCGGTTGTTTGCTGTAGCAGCCACAGACGTGCTAGAATGTCTAACCCTCTTCCGACATTCAGGCACGTCTTAGTGCTAGCAAAAGTAACAACCATGACTTGTGAATCAGCATAAGACACACGTACCAAATTAGTATAGTAAGTGTAGTAAGTAGCTCAAGCAAAATATACACATTAATATACAGTCATTTACCAACCCACGACTCGTCTATCATTCTCTAACTAAACTACCATGGCGAAGTGGTGACCACCAACACCTTTCACCTGCGCCATGGTAAATTTGCCAATACAAATCGTACACTTCCAGATAGCTCTATGCTCAGCGGTTAAGGTATTGAAGAAACGTTGTTCCGACACACCGGCACACCATATGTCAAAGTTCTCATGACAGACACTACAGCACAAAAAAGTATATCCTTAATTGGTTGCCTGCACCCATAACAACTGCCGACATTAGACATCGTTCGGTTAGTTTAAAAAAAATTGATTCAAAAAATAATAATAATTAATCAATAATTCTGTTCAATGAGGTTCGAACCCAAATACGGGTAATTAAAAACCAGAAAAAAAAGAAAAAATAGATTTTCAGTCTAAAGCCCGGGAATCGAACCGAAACTCACACTCGGATTGACTTTGCAATCAAGCGCCGAGACCATTAAGCCAGAGCGCCACAGTGCAACGACGCGAAATTGTTGCTCTTATGCGTACGGACAGTAACGTCACACGACAGACGTCACACGAGGTTAATGATCTATCGTCCGGTCAATGACACGAGTTCAAAGTCTAACCGCGGTTAACCGTTCAAAGCACAGATAAAACGTAAGTTTTTGGCAAATCCACAGAATATTTGATAATTTCAAATGCACCATTCGAAAGTTCGCAGTTCTAGTTAACTGTTAAAGTACATTTACGGCAGAATAACTTAATATTTACATTGTTATTTCACAATAATGCACGAGCGTAACATAAACACGTCAGTTAGCGATGCCTCGTCCCGCGCACCTCTCGGAGGATGTTCATTATAAATATGGCACTTATTTCTAAATATGGCTGGCACGGTTTTTTTAATAATGGCATCGTTGGGTATCGTTTTCGAGGTATTTGGGGATGCGTATTACGAATTTGGCATTTGTTTGTAAATCCAAGATGGCGGACACGGTTTTTTAAAAAGAAATGCAATATGGGTATCCTTTTCTTGATATTTGGGGATGCTCATTACGCATATGGTACTCATTTCTAAATCCAAGATGGCAGGTACGATTATTTGAATAACGGCAAGTTGGGTATCGTTTTTTGTTGGGTATCATTGAATGTTTTAAGTTAGATAGCGCTATTTCTATTATATCATTAGATGCGAAATTATTATAGCTATGGAAAGGTATAAAAAAAAACTAAAGGGCGTATCTCAGAGATAGCGCATTTAGGATTAGCAGGGTAGAACAGTGGTTGTAATAAAAGTGTTGGTACCGATTGGTGCTACTGTATTGCTTGTTTGATTATTTATCTCACCTATCCTCATTTCATCCATCACCCTGCTTGGTATACCTACTACCGTCGCGCAAACAGTGCTTATGATCAAAGAACTTTCACACATTTTTCCCATACAAAGCTGATGAAAAATCGGTCTATTTAAGGTATTTAAATTAATTTTGTAAGTAAAATATCACTCAAACACAAAAAAAACTGTTCAATATACGTTGTATTAAAAACTATTTTCAGGTCGTTATATTGTGAATTTGGGTAGGATTCGTCAATTTTCTTCTTCGCGACCTGCAGTTGTTTTATTCCATTTTCGCAAATTTTTCGCGAATTCTCTTCTCTACCCGCTACTGTGTTTAATTTAAAAAATAGAAAAAATATATTTTCATAATGATTCTAGTGTTATTCGATAGGTATTTAAATGCTTATCACCTTTAAATATACTTTGTTTCTTAATAAAATGAATATATAAAGTGGTTAAGAGTTAAAGAGTAAAATACTATGAAAGTTTCTCAGAATTAGGGCCGCCGTCCACTTTAGCTATGTTCCTGATTTTGCGTAAGTAGGTACAACTAAATATTCAATCGAAAACGTCGCCATCTGTCAAATTCTGAATTTGTACAATTCGTGATACATTAGTAGTTAGTAGAAAATTGTGTTTGGCCTGTTACCATTAAGCATGTTAATATTGTGTTGCTTTAAAATCTACTTAACCGCTCACGCAATGCGTTCCTCCTACCGCAAAATGGCGGCTATCTGGTTTCGCAAATTAGAAAAGCATTTAGTTTAAATACAAGTTTTTATAAATAAAAATTATTATTCTGCATTGCTAAATAAATACCCTCCGTACTACCAACAAAAACATCTCAAATAAAATGCAGTAATACACCGCAAATCTTTCACTTAAAAAGCACTAATGAAATTTTTGGTGTACTTGGATAAATATGATAATTTCCGTTTGAGTGGTTCTAACGTTTACCATGAAATTACTCCTTAAAGTATAGTTATATTATATATAAACATTTATATTCAGGGTAAACTTAAAAAACGCTACTTACGGTATGTTTTCAATAAATAAACACCGAAATCACCAGCCCAAACAATAACACACACGATTGTCGTGACGTATTTTTGAAGTTGTTTATTTTTTTAAATGACAGACCCAGGCATTAAAAACTTAATGGTTTGCTAGAGTAGTTACCGAAATAACAATTAATATTAGTTCCTTTACCTGTTATAACTTCGATATCCGATAAATCGTTATAAAATCATCACCGGCACCTCTGGGTGTGGTATGCGTCTACGGCTGCATGTATCGCGTGAGCGGCTATTATGATTACGTATTGTAGTTACGTTCTTCTTAACAAGAAATATAATAATTATAATATACACATTCTGTTACACATACACAAACAGACACCTACACACCAAACACACAACACACACATACTTTAATTTATCCCCAGAGGGCGTCCCTTAAGGTACAGATACGATCGATGTCAATCGTCAGTGTCGATGGACATTGTCGATCGACAATGTCGATTGGGAGCCTACAGATATAATCGACAACGAGAGTTATAGACGTTTCCGAGTTGTTTGGGAGTGCTTATTGAGAATGTGGCATTAATTTCTAAATCCAAGATGGTTGCCAAGAATTTTCAAAAATTTATTTTTGGCAATCCTTCTGGAAATGGCATTTACTCGTATATCTGAATACATGATGGCTGACACGACTTTTAGCATTTCTAAATACCAGATGGCGGGCACGATTTCTGAAATAATGGTAAGTTGGGTATCGTTTTCGAGGCATTTGGGAGTGGTCATTACAAATATAGCACTTGTTTGTAAATCCAAGATGGCGGACACGATTTTTCAAAAAATGCAATATTTGTATCGTTTTCGAGGCATTAGGGGATGCTCATTACGAATATAGCACTTGTTTGTAAGTCCAAGATGGCAGACACGATTTTTCAAAAAATGCAATATGGGGTAACCTCTTCGAGTTATTTGGGGGTGCTCATAACGAATACAGCACTTATTAGTAAATCCAAAATGGCGGACACGATTTTTCAAAAAAAATGCAATATGGGTATCGTTTTCGAGGTATTTGGGGGTGCTCGTTACGAATATAGCACTTATTGGTAAATGCATGATGGCGGACACGATTTTTCAAAAAATGCAATATGGGTATCATTTTCGAGGTATTTGGGGATGCTCGTTACGAATATAGCACTTATTTCTAAATCCAAGATGGCGGGCACGATTTTTCGAATAATGGCAAGTTGGGTATCGTTTTCCAGGTATTTGGGGGTGCTCATTACTGTAGTAATTAAGTAGATGGATGATTATTTCATGGTGATTAATT